TTGAACGTACAGCGCCTTCCCCACGGACGATGCCAACTGTCGGTGCAGAATGTGACCAACTAGTGAATGTTTGTAGTTTTGTTGTACGTTGTGATCGGAGGTGGCCTAGCACTCAATGACATAGGATTTATACTGGTTCGGGCAACGTGCCCTACGTCCTGTCGGGGTCGGTCGGTGACTTTATTCCTGAGCCTAGGTGCTCAAAGTTGGTAGTGGGGTTACAAACAAGAAGGAGAAAGATGGGGTGTACAAGAGGTCCGGTCGGCTTCGACCGGAAGGGCCGAGAGTGACAGGAACTTCGCTATGAGCTAGGTGTTCAAGCGTGTGCTTGCGGTCGGAACTTGGTGGTTCTGTGGTTGTGAGCTATCGATCTAAGGAACTCTAGCCTATTGGAATCGGTCTTCGATCATTCCCCACCCCCTCTGTTGGAGGGAGTACATCCCCTTTTATAGATGAAGGGGATGGCTTTATAGGTGAGAGGGAGAGGGTACGGATGTTTTTAAGCCTTGTTGCCCATGCTGATGAGGATCGGATAATGGTAGGCCCCCACAACGCTGTTGATGTCACTGTAGAATGTGAGGTGCACGTGGGAGGTGGCGCTGTCTTCTTCAAGAAGGGTTGACGTCAGTACCTGCAAAAAACTGTTTGATGCCTAGAGGTATGTGAGGAGCCTCGCTATGTTCACCCGGTATGGTAAATCCTGGTGCCCATACCGCTATCGATGTCTAGGGACACGCGGGGGGGGGGGTTTACCATATGGGAGTTTTTAGCGGCCCCTACAATACTATAGTGGGAGATATCGGCGCCTACAATATTGTTTGTGTCAGGGTGGCTGCAGAATGCTATTCCGCGCAGGGTATGGTCCCTGGTATAGTGGTTTTGACTTGTGAGCCTTGCCTTGCCTTTCTCCGCACGCCTTCTGGTTCCTTCCGAGTGGGCGTCCCTAGTCGGATGGCTCCAATCGGCTCTGAGTGCGCCGGTCGGAGAAGAGCGGTGAGCAGGGTTCCTACGAGCCCCGGTCGGAGGGACGCGGGGTCGTAGTCGGAAGTAGGGCTCGGGACAGACCTTCCAATCGGAGAGGCCGTCCGGAGGCGGCTGAAGCCCGAATTGAGTGCTCCGATCGGAGAGGTGGGCCGAAGTAGCTGATGAGCGGGCATTGCTCTTCTTGGGCCTGTCCTTCCGGTCAGTTGCTGGACCGTTCCTTTGCCCTGTTGTTTTTAGACTCTTGGGCCGAGCCTTGGCGCAGAAGCCGGTCCCCGAGGGACCCTGGGTTTATGAACCCGACACTAAGACTTCTAGCTTCCAGCAGGGTTATCATTGCTTGGTGCTCTACCTTATCAAAAGCCTTTTAAAAATCAAGCTTGAAAATTACAATTTCTTTTCTCGAATTATGACCAAGGTGTAAGTACTAGTATCCTTATCAGATGGTACTAGTATCCTTATGAGATGAGGATCCCAATATCCCTAGAAATGAATCGAGTAGTTTGGATTCAAATTTGTAGATAGATATCTATTCAATTTTGTTGCCTATAAGTACCCATCCTCATTTTAAGTAATTTTAGGAAAAAATAATATAATGGGAGATGAAAATATAAGTATACTATACTCGATTAATCTAAACAATAAAGATATTGATTATGAGTACATCACTGGACATTAAAATAAAACATGGATACACATCATTAAATCACATATCACATAGATTATAGCTAAAAATAAAATAGTTGCAAACAGTTCAATTGTTATCCACATATATATATCTTTAAATACTTTAAAAAATAATATTAATTAATCATAGACACAAATTTGAATAGTTTCGACTTCTAAAAGTGGAATGTACGCTCTTTGAGAACTATATTATATATTATTGGTCATATTAAAGTTAATGTCATTAATTTTATTAAAAATGAATTAGATCAATCTTATATGTCATTATTAATAATAAAGCTATTATAAGTCGTTACCTCTAAATAGTTTCTGTTGGTACATCTTAGTAATATTAAAATTAATATCATTAGTCATTAGTCACAAGAATGTATAAATGATGTATAATTTCACCTTGTACTATGTTCTTCACAAATACACATAAAATCGGATATCCATCTGTACTCCTATTTTTGTATTATAAATCTAGATTTGGGCAGAGAAAAAAAATGAAATGGATTTAGTTACATTATTATCGGATAGAAATATGGATATTCATATTGAAATTTTTGTAGATAACAAGGTTTAATAACACGAATTTTCTGCTGTATATTCATTTCCACCCGTACACGCAACGCGCTTACGCGCACCAACTATGTGAAGTTCCGTGAGGTCAGTCAACTCTCAAGTCTTCTCTAGCCCACATACCTACTTATTTATTGTTTCCACATCACGGCATCGCCTGATTAGCAACACCTACCGCGCTTGGTCTGGCCTGTGTGTCCCTCTCCGCATCTGTCCTCGCCTCACACTGATCTCCTCAACCAAATTGACTGTCCGCGGGATTTGCTTGAGGTTAGTGATTTGATTCATTCTGCTGTTTCGTTCTGAAAACTTTTCGTCAGAAAGTTGGATCAAGCCAGTTGGATCATCCAAGGAGAAGAGTAGCTAGTCTCAGAGGAGAACTCTGAAGCTTAGTTGTGTCTTTTTTTGTCTTGTTAATTAACCAGTTCTCATATAGGAAAACCATTATTGTCTCGGCTTGATCGATTGACGTTCGGACCAAATGATCGGTCAGAAAATCAAGAGTAGATCCGCCCGGGCAGGAACGTCATAAATCCTGAACAGCAGCAGTTCAACATTTGTTTGATCGTGGTCTTCTTCTCTCCAGGTATGTTCTCTACATGTACGAACCCAGTCCTGCCGATGGTTCAGATGGTCCGCGAAATTTCGGTTCCATATATCAACGTTTATTATGCAAAATCGTGCATGGTAATAATCATGCTGATAATATGAAACCTAAATAGAAAATAGTACTAGCTACTTGAACAAAATTTCCATCGAACTGTTAAAAAAAATTGGATTTGCTAAAATTCAGGTGCTTGAATTTTAACTTCCTTTCAGGTGATGTTTATTGCATATGTTTTGCACTAAAATTGTACTTTTGGTTCATTGCAATTTCTGTAGCCACAATCTGCAATTTTCGGTTCCGAGAATAAAAACCCATTAGACAAAACCACGGATCCGACAAAAACTGATTTGCGTTGGCACAAAAACAATTAACAAGTTACAATTATTTTTATAGTCAGGCAAGGACAAAAAATTGATATGTTATAACACAAAGACAAGTAACAAATCACAAAATAATAATTTACCTGTACTAGTTGGTGGAACAAGAGTGTTGTTTGAAATTGTCTTAAAATTTAGGCGCCTGAGATATAGGAGAAGCGAAAAAAAATCCATCGCAAGTTTGACCGACCAAAGATGTTTTCGGTCTACTACCCCGATTGACTGACCAAAGAGGCCCAACAATAACAATCCCCTCAACCGATCTCCGCTGACCCCCTTGCATCTCGAATTCTCGATTGCCTACTTGACGATGCTATGTGAGCGGCGAGTCGCCCGCCTGCCCCATCAACGGCGGTGGCGGCGCGCATTAGGTGCTATGGGTGGTGGACTGATGGGGATGAGCACGCCGCCGTTGACCGGGAGAAGCGGCATGGTGGAGGTGCAGATTCCGGTAAGGTCACCTCAGATCGTGCCGCTCGAACTTTCCGGTTTCCAGCGCAGTGCAATGCAGTGCTCAGATCTACTTCCTGGAAGAGCCAACGACGCTGCCGGTCGCCACTTGCTGCACCCACCACCATCCTCTCGGTTCGGTAAAAGAAAAAAAAATCCAGTTTAGCTTTCGTGACATTTCTTTTCTAAAAAATAAAACTTTTGTGACATTTCGGATATTGATTTTGGATGACCAAGAGAACAGGACCGAAAAAATAAGTCTTGCCTGAAGGCCCAGCCCTAACCTGTAGTTTCAACTACGGTTCCCATCACTACCAGTTGACAATAGAAAATCACAACTTATATTCCCAACAACTACCGGTTGGTAAAGTTCCAATCATAGGCGTGCCTTGTGATGTTGAACTGGTACTGATGCTACAGTCGCGTTAGTTTTTAGCCAAAAGGTAGGAAAATACCTGTATATGAATGGCCAGTTCTTGAAGCGGGTGTTTAATCAACTAGGCTATTCATTATTCTTAGAAAATACTCCCTCAGTTCCACCAAAAAAAAAATACAATTCTACCATGGTGCCGAATTAAATCATTCCGAGTTTGACTAAGTTTATACAAAAAGTATCAGCAATTAGGATACCAAATAAGTGCCATTACATCTGTCATTAAATATATTTTCATAGCATACATATATGGTCAAACTTTAGATAGTTTGACTAAGAACAGAGTAAAATTTGCATTATTTTCAAGGCAGAGGTAGTATCTGCTTGTGCTCTCTCTTTTATTTGAACTTATGCCATAAGCTGCAAGAAACTTGTGGCCTGTACAGAGAAGTCCTATTTATTTTTGTAAAAGAGAGAATAATAGCTTTCAACTACAGTGCACAAGATTCACTTGAAGTCGGAGTTGTTCTGATAGGAGAAGCCTTAATTCCTAAGGGAGGCCTTACTTTAAAAAGGCTCTCAGAAAAGTCAGCTTCTAATAAACCAATTTTAAAGTAACTTATTTTTCAAACACATAGCTAGCTTTTGGATCTGCTTCTCAAAATGGAGTTTTTTTTTTATTATTGATTTCTGCTACTATAAAAGTCATGCAGCGGTTAGTAGAAGCCCAAAAAACCTAGGCCTAAATTAGCAAGCGAAAGTTTGTGTGCACAGCTAAATGAATTTCTTATAGACCCAACTTATCTAACACATCTTGCCGGCCTTTTCACAGGAGGGCCTCTCATTGTCCTAGCCCCAGGTGCTCAGAAAACGCAGACAGCACTGTTCTGAGCAATAGCACATCGGTTTGTAGCTCCGCCACACAATAAGCACATTGCGACAGAGTACAGACAGAAATCGAGCAATGGCAGATGTACTGCTTGGGGTCGCCAACTCCTTGGTGCAGGGGACCATAGCCAAGGTACAGTCAGCGATAGAGGAGTCGTCAAAGCTGCAGCAGAGTGCACAGGATGACTTGGTGTTTATTGTTGGTGAGTTTGAGATGATGCAATCCTTTCTCAGCTCCACCACTAAGAACGTCACGAACAACGTCGTGGGCACCTTTGTGGCTCAGGTACTTGACCTTGCCTACGACGTGGAAAACAGCATCGAGTTCGTTGTTCACTTAGACACCATATGTCTGAATCAGACCGATGGTGTCGTATGATACCATCATGCATGCGGCCGCCGCTGCCCCTAGATGAGGCTGTTGGCATCATAGCGCAAATGAAGGTGAGAGTTCAGGATGTGATCCAGAGGAAGGAGCGCTACACACTTATCAGCGATTCTGGTGGCCCCAATCCTGTCATGGAGATGAAGCAGCTGCACAACGTCAGTTCATCGTTTGACATGCTCGCTGAAGCAGGGAGCAGAGCCATGAATCAACGAGACATGGATGTAAGTATACAGTCACCAAAACAAAGCAGTTGGCACTAGTCTTCCAAAAACATATCAAAGGAAAAATATTGATGTTAAATTATTTGATGAAAAATATACTAATATTATAAAAAATATAAATACGCTTATACTCCGTATATGTCAATGCCAAATTAATTCTGTACGTGAATGTTGTCAATACATTAAAATGTAAAGCACATTTGTCTGATTCAAGCTCAACATTTTGATTTGCAACGGCCAATGTATGATTCATATTATTTTTAATTGTTGTTTTAGAATATGAGATAAACAAAATATTATAATCCATATTGTCTGTTATTTCGCAACTATTTAATTGTCAAATTCCTATATTTTTGGTGAACAAATTGAACAATCAACTTTTCCCGCCAGGTACCTGCTAATAATGCCCTAATTGGACGCACATCAGATATCAATCAACTTGCTGGGTATCTAGCTAAAGCACGTATAAACGAATTGCATGTGATGTCCGTGTGGGGGATACCTGGATCTGGGAAATCTGCTCTTGTTAGAAATTTGTACCACGAAATGGCACACCTATTTGAGGAGCATGGCTGGGTGGACATATCCCATCCATTCAATTTAAAGGATTTCTCTCGGAGCCTACTTTTCCAGTTTAATTCACATTCACTCGAAGCAAATGAAGCTATAGGCCCTGTTGAACAGTGTCGCAACCTTCTAAAAGATCGCAGGTGCCTTGTCGTTATTGATGATGTAGATCTACAGCTCACACAAGAATGGGGCAAGATACGAGCTGCCTTGCTATCAAGACCTACTAAAAGTGTTATTATCGTTATTACAAATGAAGAAAAAATTGCCTTCCACTGTGCCGACAGAAAAGATCTTGTCTTTAATGTCAAAGCTTTAAGTGTCGAGGCAGCCATTGATCTCTTCAAAATGAAGGTGCGTTTAGCTAGTCAAATGATAGTTTCCAACACTATTGTTCCCCCATTGACATATTGTACTTTATGCATCTTATTACAAACATAAAATCTGTCATGTGGGCTGCCGTAGGCGCATGTGTCCAGCGCGGATGTGTCCAGCGCGGATGTGGTCGATCACCATGCACTCCTCAGATTGAGCGCTGGACACATGCGCCTACGGCAGCCCCACATGACAAAATCTCTCATGGTTGCCTAGATATAAACATTTCGATTTCGACCCTTAGGAAAGTGGTAAGTGTTTTGTTGATTAATGACAACTGTATTGTTGTAACTAAAAAGTTTATTTTGAAGACATATCCAAGTCACAGTAATCTTGGGCGTCTTAGGTCCTTATTTGAATTGTGGAGCAATCAATTGATGTGGATGTGAAGATTGATGCTCTTCTAGATCTAAATATCATAAAGGGATGAAGGATACTTAGAGTAGTCTAGGTATTGCTATGCTTCAACCATACTATAAAGGTGGATAAAAGTTAGTAAATTGACATAGTGGTCAGTCTAGGTTTGGTTGATGCACGCTCGTGGCACTAGATAGCTTACAGAAATCAATGGAAAAGGCTTCATTGAAGAGAATTGAATTGAAACACGCCCTATCATGCCAGGCGAGTAAAGATGAAACTGAATTAAGCATGTGCACACCTAGCGGTGAAGCACACTGTATCATACTATGTGAGTAACAATGCTAGTTGTAGCACATAATAACAACAAGCAAGCAAGCACGAAAGAGGTAAACAAACATGTATAGACAATAGAAAGACACACAAATACAAGAGATGAATGTCTTCTCCATACTACTGGAATTATGATGCCCTAAGAGGGTGTTTGAATTAGAGTCACTAAAAAAATACGGCTCATTTTGCACATCTAAAAACCCACACAAGTTTATCTAGATGTGCACTAGGTTTTTCTATGTGATTTTTATCTCTAATGCAGAAAAGTTATGCACTTTAGGTTGGCCAGTGAAAGGACTGTGAGCTCCCAAGTGGAGGGTTGAATTGGGTGCCTTCCAAAAAACCTAAAACCTAGGGCTCAAATAAAATTACCACTAGAAAAAGCGATAATTTAGTTCTAGCATGATCTTCATGTAAGGTTTTTCTAGTGTGCTCTAATTTACCCTTAATCCACAAGAGTTTTGTATGGTAGAGCCAATCCTATCAACTAGCATAATGTAATGTAGGAAGGTAAAGATCACACAAGTCAAGTACAAGTGGAAGCAGTGAATGCGGCAAGTAAAGATGAAGGGTTAGAGAGGACAAACTCTTGAGATGATGATTTATCCCATTACATCGGTTGCCAAAGTGCAACTACTAGTCCATGTTGGAGCTCCACAAAGGATATGCTCCCGATCAGCAGCCTTATGCTGGTCAGTGTTTGGCAAGCCACAAAGGCTACCACCAACCAAGACAAGTGCCATGAACCATTTGCTGCCCGACTCTCCCAGTCGCCTTGCTATCATCTTTACTACGGAGCTTCTCCACCAATGTAGGAGCCTCATCGTCTCCCGCACAACAAGTCTCATGCACTCCACACCAAGCTCAGAGGGTAATCGACGTTGCCAGAGAGGCACCAAGACTCCAAGTGATCCGGCACCACCAAGGTACAATGGCACTAAGCCAATCACTCAAGTTCTCAAGCTACAAGGCCAAACCCTCACAAAGATGATCTGAGCTTGGAGGGTGGATGGAGTGTAGAATTACTTGTCCAAGATTCTAGCATCCTCGTACTCCAACTACAATAAGGAAGTTGTGGGAACCAACTTCAGCTTTTTCATTAGTCACCAGATGGTCTGATGGTGCCTTTTCGCTACCGCCATATCATCAGGTGGTCTTTTTACCGTTAGATTAGCAGTTATTAAGCCGTGTGCATTTTCTGCACACTTGCTTCGTTTGACACTATTTCTTCTCCTTTTTATGCACTTGTTTCCTTGTATCAGTGGGACATATTAGAGCCTATTTAATACATTTTAACACATATGTTAGTCCTAGTGCACCAAAACTACAATATGAATATGTCTAAGAGCCCATATTTGTTACATCTAGTAATGTCTACCAAGTCTCCAAATCCTTCAGAGCCCTTCTTGCTCTAAGCCGCCTTGTGAACCCAATTTTCCATGAAACCCTTCCCGCTAGTGATGGTATCCTTAGGCAACCAAATAGGTTGGTTCCACATCTTGCATTGCTTGTTGACCTTGTGAACCATTACCTTTTTGTTGTTCATCAAGAGGAAGGGTGTGCTTTACTTTTTGCCAAACTTCAAGTAAGGCTTGTTGGACTTGGAGAGCTTCTTCTTTTCTTTTTCCCTACTTTGTCTTGCACTCGTATGACTTTTTCCCTTCGTGACATAGGTAGCATGTGACGATTTGTCCCTCGCCAAGCTTTTCACAATGCGAGGACTGTTATCTTGAGTAAGGTTGTACTTGGATACCATTCGCCTTGCCTTTGAGCCTTAGGTCAACACTAGCTTTGCAATGATCACATGCGTCCACTGACCCATCACCCCAAGTATTGAGGCCCACACCGGCAACCATCCACGTCCAATTTTGAGGACCAATTTGACTAACACCCTTGCACACCTCATAGGGCATGACTCACTGATGTTTGCAAATTTAACCATCTCAAAGGCCCCGATGCCCTAATATTTTGCACTCACTTTCTCGTGACACCTATGCAAACTTTCCATATTTGCCTTCCTTGACTTGGCGACACCATCTTAACTGAAAGGATAAGCTTGAGTGTGTGTATGTTAAAGCTATTGGAGCTCCTTTAGTTGTTGAGTTTGGCGTAGGGCGGCAGCGGCCGCCACCCATGGCGCTGAGTCGATGTTATGTCGAAGCTCATATAGCGATAGCACTCGATGAGCTCCATCACTTGTTACTAGTTATAGGTAGTATAGTTTTTGGGCCGGTTTCTCTCGTAAATTGGGCCAATTCTCTTATTAATATTTCTTTGGAACAACATGTTCTGGATCTTTTAAAAAAAAAGATGTTTGCCAACGTATGGCGGATAATATTTATTTTCTTGAGTACAAGAGAATAAATGAAAATAGACGTTGCTCATCTAGACATTGCTTATATATAGGTACACATAGCAAAAACAATGTATCTAAAAAAACAAAACGACTTACAATTTGGAATGAAGGAAGTAAGTGCTAACTAGTTGCTCACATGCTCATCTTGAATTAAACAATACTATATGTTCACATGGTTTTTTCACAATTAGTTGACTCAACAATCAAGATTTTACACGCACAACCAAATATCTTTTGAGTCCCAATGTCATTCCAAACCCGCATTCTTTATCTTGTTACCTTGAATGCATGGACTGACCCTGTATGCAGTCCTGCCTTGTTGACTTGTTATTTTGTTGTGCCACATGTATCTGCTGTTGTATTTGAAACCAATACTTAGCTAAGGCCTGAGTGTATTCGCATGCATGTTGCTTGCTTTTTTTTTCCAGATGTGTATTGTTGTACTATGATATCTCTATTTGTTTTTTTTATCTAAACCATTATAAGGGTAATAGGGAAACTGGCAAACAGCTATAAAAGGTATATTAGATTTTTTTTTTGCAGTGGATAATTTATTAGCATGTGTAAAGGGTACTCTAGGCTACTTTTAACCTAATGGCAGCGGTGGATAATTTATTAATATGTATATGGGCACATTGATTTTCTTTTCTCCAATTAATGAGGTAATTTCTAAGCCTTGAGAATTGACGTGGAGGCTCCTCTTGTTAGCCAAATACAAAGATAACTACGGTTAAAAAAAGATAATAGATTTATGCTATTTTCCAATATAATTGATGCACACTTTATATGTCCCAACTTGAAATATGTGAACCTAATATAATTGATTTTTTGACCTATAGGTACCAAGTCCATTTTTTTCTGTTGATAATATGGAGAATGAAGTGGTCTTGCAGCAACTTATTAGAAAGTGTGGTGGACTTCCAAAAGTAATAGTTGCTTTAGCTGAGATTTTGAGCCCAGTCTATAATTGGGGAGAAAAGGCCAGTATGTTGAATGACAATTTCGTGCTCAACCTGGAGACCATGCCAGAGTCTGATTGTTTACATGGTCTATTTAGATGGATGCAATCCTACTTCGATGCTTTGCCAATGCACTTCAGGAAGCTTGTTGCATACCTATTAATTTTCCCTGGACACAGCAGCACTCGGCGGCGGCGTTTGGTGATGCGGTGGAGCGCAGAGGGGTACTCCACCGATAGTGAAAGCTATACAGCGGATGAGAATGGAGAGGAACATTTTTCCGGGCTGGTTAACCAGGCAATGATTCAGCCACCACCACTTACAACAATCACAAATATGAGAATGGTCTCGTTTAAAGTCAATGCTATCTTCCGTGAGTATATGATCTCACGACCTCTGAAAGAAAACATTGCAACCGCAATTGAGCTCTTTGTGCTCAAAGGAACTTGCAGTCCAACAAGTAGGCGCAGAGGACGGCACCTTGTCATAGAACAAAGCTGGACAAGAGATAGGATAGTGTTTGGGAAAATTGACTTTTCGAGGCTAAGGTCTCTAACAGTGTTTGGGCAATGGGAATCGTTCTTCATCTCTGAAGGAATGAAGGTTCTTCGGGTGCTTGATCTTGAGGATGCATCAGGTGTGACAAATAAAGACCTCCAGAACATCTTAAAGTTGCTGCCCCGTCTAAAGTTCCTTTCTCTGAGGGGATGCAGTGAGATAAGCTATCTTCCAAGTTCAGTGGGTCAACTAGGACAACTCCAAATGCTTGATATCAGATACACCAGCATAGTCACCACTCCAGCGTCCATCACTAAGCTAAAGAAGCTGCAATACATCCGGGCGGGCCCTGTGTTTTCACCTGAGGATCCATCAGCGCATCGTTCTGTAGCATTGAAGTTCTCAGACCTCCGCAGATGCCATCAACTAGTTGGTGTCAAGGTGATGACTGGGATCGGAAAACTGACCGCTTTGCATACACTTGGAGTGATCAATGTTGGTTCAGCAGGGGGCAAAGGCATCCTGAAAGAGCTCAAGAATCTCACCCAACTGCACAAACTTGGAGTGTCTGGGGTAAGCAGGAAAAATGGCAAGGTGTTCTGTTCTGCCGTCTCATGTCACTCCCGCCTAGAGTCCTTGGCAGTGTGGCTCAGGAACGACAGTCAAAATTGTTTAGATGACATGGTCCCTGTGTTTGCAAATGAACTTCAGAGCCTAAAGCTGTACGGTCATGTAGAAAAATTGCCCAGGTGGATCAAGAAGCTTTACAACCTCAAAAAGTTAAATCTGGAGTTGGACACATTGTCGGACAATGACATGAAAGTCCTTGGGGATCTACAACAACTATGTGTTCTACGTTTTCGTGTCAAGCCACCTCATGATAGTAATATCAACTTTAATGTGGTGGTAGAGGGTGAAGAGGATCACAGTTATAAAAACATTAAGATCCTCGAGATTGCTAGCGCATCCAACTTGCATTTAACTTTTGGATCACGAACCATGAAAAACCTTGAGTTGCTCACGGCTGGCTGCTGTAATAATGGATCGCAGCTGCAGTTTGATGGGTTAAATCATCTCTCGAAACTTAAGGATGTGCGAGTTATTGGTTCTAAAAATGAGAACCTTAGGAAAAATTTGGAGGACCAATTTGCTGGCCATGGAAGCAAACCCGCTTTGAAGCTGGAGGAAGTTGTTCCGTCGACTGAGGCCTCCACTGGACGAAACAATGAACACTATATGGCATTTCCCTTTCATTGTAGCACTCGATGAAGTCAGGATGCAGTCATCAGGGCAGTGAATACTGAAACATATGCTTTCTGTATTATTGCAGTAAGCAGAATTCAAGAACTTGGCTGCGGTGAAATATGCTACTTAAATTTTATACTACAGTTTGTAAGAAAAGGATCTTGTGAAAATGTTGATTTTTTCTTCGGCTGTATCAATCATTTTCTACTCATGTTGTTTTAGAATTTCTCAGTCAGTTTTTTTGAGTTTGGCTATTAATGTACAGAGAACTGGATAGATTGAAAGTAAAAGTTTTATGTTATCCCAAAAGGTATTTTCCTTCTTTTTGTTGTAATGAAAGGTACTTTCCTTACCTATAATGTTTTTAGATATTGTATTTTCATAGATGCTGCTAGTCAAAGTTCAGCGTGTTGATGTCCTAAATGACCTAGATTTGTGGTTGTTTTTTTATCAATGAGAAAATTAATAAAACTAAACACATCTGGTGCCTATCCAAACCATAACTCGTTTATGAGCGATGCCTTTGTGCATTAGCCTAATGAATTCATTATTAATTGAATAGGTATTTTTGTTCACAGAAAATTCGAAAATTTTGTGTTCTCAAACCATCTCTCATATTCTTTTTTTTTTTAGGAAACCATCTCTCACATTCTGCTTCCACACAGTGGTTGCTTACTTCAAGTTTTCAGGCAACTAGAATGTACAAGCCGTGTTTTTCTTTAATAAACAGAGGGATCAACAAGTTGAAACTGGCATCACAAAAAAATATGTCAGTCTTCATTTTGATTACGAGGAAGGTTGTGTGATCCAATACATAGCAAGTGAAAAATGTAGCTCAGTACACATCAGTTATGGAAATCTTCAATGTGGCGTTCAGATACGTGTACATAGCAATGCAAGGTTCATGGTTCATACTACGAACCCTGCGTCAGTGCGTCACCAAAGCGCGTGACGATCTCGCGTATTGTCATTGTTTTTCTGAATCCTCTGTCCGGGTACACATGTAGTATCTTGTTCATGCACAAACATACGCTCACGCTACCCAGACACACCACACTTACACCATGCGTGCACAACTAGACCTACAACTACACACAGATCAGAAGACCGCGTTCTTCTTGAGATCACCAGAACATCAATGCTCCGTAGGCAACGAGCGTGTTGCAATTCAACGCGTCCTTCTTATATCACCGGAACCATCAAGGCTCCGTAGGCAACGAGCGTGTTGCAATTTCTTTGTCACTTCATGCGATAGAGGCTGTAGACAAAGACATCTCCGAGGTGAGGCCCCTGGGTCGATTCCCCGGCCGTTCCAACCACAAGGAACGAGCCAACCGAGCTACGGTTGACGGACTCATTGGGCATCTTGGTCAAGTCAACTTGTCTTTGTACACGGTTGGTACCTAGCTTCTCTCTGCTTTCTTTATACTCCTACATTGCAGCAATAATTGAGGCATCCGTCTCAGAACCTCAGCCTCCTTCGGTTAATGCTCCTTCAATTGTTGGTCCCTGCAGCAAGTATCCTTCAAGTGTTCTTATCCAGGTTAGCTCTCCTACGAGTTTGCTTATTTGTAAAAAAAAGTTTGCTTATACTATAATCAAATGTAGTGCGAATTCAATGTTGTGCCTGTGATTATGCTATTTATGTACAAATTCAGTTCAGTCCCCCTTTTCACCTTGTGAGTCTAAAAGCAATGAAAGCATGGTTTCTTTCGAATGGTTTCAGAAGAATAATCATGTTCTTGCCACGTGCGATTGAGCAAATTTCCTTGCTTCTTTGGGTGTTTTAGAAGACTTGATTTGCAGCAGGTCTTATACATATAGCGGCAACATATCATGTGCAAACCAACTAACCTGTACAAATTTGGAAACTATCAATCAAGACCACTGGATGCTGATCCAATGGATGAGATGAGGGGGCTTAAGTGAAAAAAAAGACGGCAGGTGGGGGGCTTAAGCGCAAAAAATCTCACCTCTCACCTCATTTATTGGATCAGCATCTAGTAGTCCTAATTGGTAGTTTTCAAGTTTACACAGATTAGTTGGTTTGCACCTGATACGTTGCCACGTATAGCTACCTCAGTTATCAGAGATGGCGAGCCAGCAGAGTCTTGACAGTACATTACCAACAAACCTACCGACGACCTTTATGAAGGAAATTACTAGTGATTTCTCTCCTGAGCGAGAAGTTGGTCGTTCTGTTTTTGGAACAGTTTATAAGGTGCGAGTGGACCCTAACATTTACACCTCAAAAAACCTCTTACATACAAAACCGTTTTACTAACGATCCATGGAGGAGCTGAGGTTAATTAAACAGGGGGTTCTTCCAGAAGGGGGGCGCATGATTGCTGTCAAGAGGCTTGCTGAAAACGCACCAGTGCCATCTGGCATGACATTTGAAACTGAGGTTACAAACCTTATGGCACTTAAACACCAAAATATAGTAGAGCTGCTTCACTACTGCCATGAAGCACAGAAGAAAGTGATTCAGCATAATGGAAGATATGTAATTGTTGAAATGACCGAAATCTGTCTATGCTACGAATATCTACCTAAGGGAAGTCTGGACAAATACCTTGATGGTATGTAACGAACTATCCAACATGCTTGTCTTTCTTTCTCCACTATGCAATTCATTTATTGTCAAAAGACAAATAATTTTCAATATTCATTTATTGCTACTACTGTAAGCAATACACACTTTTGGAGAATACTATCTTAGATACTTACAATTCATTAGTACTTTCTTTACTTTGTACTTCTTCAGCGGACATTAGTTCAATTGACTGGGACACAAGATTCAAAATAATTAAGGGGATCTGCCAGGGTCTACATTTCCTTCATAATAATAAGGAATTGGACGGCTCCCTTGTTCACATGAATCTTGTGCCTAACTCCATATGGTTGGATGATAATTGGGTGCCAAAAATAGCCGATTTTGGTCTCTCGAGACTCTTTGGACAAGAGAAGACCCGGACGTACACAGTCAATGTTAAGGGACATAAGTAAGTCGAAACAAACAGTGAAACATGATTTTCCTCCAAATTATATAAAGCAAACGACATTTGATTCTTTGAAAAACTGTTGCAGTGGATACATGGCTCCGGAATATCTATACAGGGGCGAAATATCCACCATGTCAGACATATATAGTTTAGGCATGTTTATTATTGAGATCGCGACTGGAGTGAAGAACTATGCGGGTCCTGAAGACAGCTGCAAGGAAATTTGTCGACGATGTAAGACAGCATTGCTTGGTTGAAACATCTATTTTTTGAATCTTTCCATGCATTCAGTTAATACATTATCACTAATGATTAAACCTTATTCTGTAGGTACATCAAAACTGGAAGGCAGATGAGCAAATAATATACAAGTACCTATCACTAGATGCAAATGGCCTCAACCAAGTAAAAACATGCATTCTGATTGGGTTGAAGTGTGTGGAGGTTGACCGTAAAAAGAGGCCTTCCATAGTAGATATTGTTGATAAGCTCAGTGGGAAATTTGTACCAATTTTTGAGCAGGTATGAACACTTGAGACATCGTTACACCCATGGTCTCTGTTCAATCTCCTAATTCCGTTATGTTCTGTTATATTATATTCAAGAAAAGTTTCTTTGTTTTTATTGTTGCAAAGGCTCACAACTCAAACAACCCGAACTTCGTTGGTTACACTGAGAATTTGTATAGAAGCGGAGACACATGTTAAACTCAATGACTAAATGCTTTCATCTCTTTTGTCAAGCGCAATAGCATTCCTTTCTTTAGGGACCAAACTATATCAGCGTTCATTTTGTAACTTGCTGCCATCAATTTTTTTTATTAATTTAAGTAAGGCTTTTACTTAAATATCCTAACATCGGTAGAACCACAGTTTATGCTATCTTTCTGGGGTGCTAATATCCTATATGAAATTTCAGGTCTCCCCTTCCCAGCATGCATGAAGCATGATCCATCCAAGGAGAAATCGGTGTCCAAGAGAACAGTCGGCTGGTATTAAAGCCGGCTGATAAGCCGGCTGAAGCTGTTTTTTGTGAGAGAAAAATACTGTAGATTCTAGCTGATAAGCCGGCTGATAAGTTCAAGCGAACAGGCTTGCTCCAGCATCAATATATATGACATCAATTTTCTTTGAAACTAGGATCCTTTCGAAATCTATCTTTCTGGCAACAAATAAGTCAATAACTGCCTCTCCAGTTATCTTTCTTTCAATTCGAGATGTGACATTGTATTGAAGCATTGTTGTCTCTGTTGATCTCATCTTTAAAATAAATTTCCCTTCTCATCTATTGTTTTTTTCGTAGTGGACTTAAGAAAATATTTGCAGGATTCCAAAATTTGGACGTACAAGCTCAGAATAAAATAAAGAAACCTGAGCTGCAGTTCGACGACAATAGATTTATTCTGACATCAACGTTCTCCTGTTTCCACCAGCTCATCTGACCTCTCTTCCCTCCCAGTTATCTACTACCATCAACAGACCAGTCCTAGTTTTATGATCGATGGTAGATGTCCAGAGACCGTTGTCGAACCTGGGGGAGTAGTTAAGTTTCAATGCACACCCATTGAATTTTAGGCATGCACATCCTAATCATCCTATCCACCTAAAATATTGATGAAGTCACCACAAATCCTAAGGTTGACGAAGTGAACACAAGTGTCTTGCACTCTCGCTATTGACAAGCACATCGACTATCATCCAGAAAATAGGCTCAATAACACTACTGGAAGAACTATTAATAGAGCCGGTCAATTGTATTTTAGAGGCGGACACCCCCCATTTCAAGGGTATGTGTTAAACTGTTAATCAGATACAACAATCGGTTAAAACACACACCGTCAAGCCTACTGTAAGTCCTATGGCATGACATACTACACGATCATGTCATACTAGCTGGACTCATAGGATAAGATATTTATGCAGGTGGTTTCCAATCAACTCTTGCAACTTAATACACATCATCAACTAATATGCTTGAAAAATAGGAGTTATGCACTAGGGCTTGCTTATGTAACTCATCCTTATACTTATGTTAATGTTGGTATTCTTCAATCTTCGGGACATTATCCAACCATCTCCATCTTTTGGACTTAAACACTGTTACACCGTCTTGTGGATTGACTTCGTAGTCCATCAAGTGGCCCATCAACAACCATCGTACCTAATGATATGCATGAATGCAATGCATGCTCAAGTGAAACAATCACAACAAAGATGTTTACAAAACGCGAAAAGACAAAGCAACACATCATCGGGTGAACTAGGGTAACTAATCATTCTTACGTCCACTCTCATACTCTCTCATCGAGACTTCACAACAAGTTAAAGTGTGGCATAAGTGTTGGTAGTTAATAACAATCATAACACAAATTATCAAACTAGCCATATTCACATTTAAACATACAAGTGCAGGACAAAGCAACATGTTAAGCATATAACCACTACAAAATAGAGATGAGTAACACTTCACTTAGTTCACATATGGCACAAACAACATCGAAAACATGTTGCAAACATAAGGTGAAGCTTATACTAAAGCTAATTAATTAATTATTAAGCAACTATATTTCGTAAATCAGAATCTAGATCCAAAATGTTTGTGTAAGAATCTGAATATCTACCAAACATATTTCCAGAGTGCGCAGAATATTTAGAAAAAAGATTTTTTATTGAAATGACTGAGGATTTTTAGAGAGCGAGAGATGATGTGAAGTCAGTCGATGCGTAGTTCACTGTTCATCGTCCCCCTCCCCCTGTTCTCCCCTGCGCGGCATCGTTCCTGGCGCAAATCACCTCCCAATCACGGCGTATCGGCGTCCACCTGCCGCGTTCGCATTCCCGGCGCGGCCCCCTCGCGTTCCCAGTCCGTGTGGCCGACGCAGTCAACGTCGTCTCCCATGCCATGTCCGATCTCAAGGTACATCGCTGCTGCTTGTATCCAGATTTTTTTTTTGGTCGTATAGTTTTGGATTAGATGCTCACGGACGGATCTGGACTATACATGTCTCCTCTCGTGCTGAACAAAGAATCCTTGTTCTCTTCTCCCTCCTATCAGTCTGTGGAGGACAAATTAGTTAATACGGGACCAGCTAGTCAAATCACCCCTGAACTCGGCCACAAACCATTGCTGTGCTTGCAAATTGGCCTCTACCGCGCACGTCGCCATCCGGCATCCATAGGCCGATCTCAAGCTCGGCACAACGGCTTCTGGAGGACCCTAGCAGGCCCTCTTCTCCGTACTGTTCTGTGGGCCGCAGCCAGTAGTAGATGCACGGTGTGTGCTCGACAGAATTACCTAGTGGAAGACTGTGTGCTCTGTTTGGTTGATTTCGCGCCCGCTTGCTTTGCACGTGCCGTCCCTGTCTCTGGTGCCCCAGCACAACTGCAGCATTTGCACCTCGCTAGCATCACTAAACCCTGCTACTGCAGGGTTGCTGCTCCTTCACTGCACTCTGTCTGCACCCCTGAGTTTGGATTTGTTGCTTCCTCCAAAATTACAAATCATACCCAACCAAAATCCAGCACTGCCCACGTAGTTTTTGATGGGCAGGTAATCAACTGGACTCTGTTGGGCATTCGCCATCTCAGTGACTGTGTGGTTCACTTTTCTTTCTCGAACACATAGGAGAGCTGTGTATCATTATATTAAGAAGATGAAAAGGGTTTTTAACCCGTACACCAAACATCCTGACACACACCCCAAAAATTTTTACATGCTCGCCACTAACGCAAAACACTATAGGTGAGCTCAACCATCCATCAATTGTCTTTTGGCTCAAGGGCAAGGTCACAAGGAGATAGAGACCCCTCGAGCCAGCCAAACACCAAAGGTGTAACTCATCCATAAAGAACACAAGACCTCATTGAAGCTTGGCAAAATCCCATAAAAACACAGCCATTGCGGTGATCCCAGATTGCCCATGCTCCTAAGATGATGATGGAATTTGGCCCTTTTCAAACTGGACCTCTCAATCTATCATTTGTTGTTGCGCATCAATCATCAAAGGAAATCTCATTGGGCTGGGAGGTTAAGGCTTGCAAACTCACTTGCTGCAGGAGACCACACTTTTTGATCCATAAATACAGCAGGGGAAGCCCCCACTGTTGGTATATAAATTGAAATAAAATAAACTGTACAGAGAGAAAGGGAGATAGGAAAGGGAAAGGACTACAGTCTACAGGCTGTACAACTGTACAGAAAGAGAGGGAAAGAAGAGAACAGCAGGAGGGAGTCAGCCTTGGAGTCCTAAAGTGGACAGAAAGGTTCTTGCCGAGTGAAAACACATGAAACAAGCAAGTGGTCAATTGTTTCTTCCTCCTGATCACATAACTGGCAACGTTCATGAGGTAACCCCCTTGTAGCAAGACGATCTGCAGTCCACCACCTATAATCGGTGACCAACCACATGAAGAATTTGCATTTGCCAGACGCCCAACTTTTCCAAATAAGTGGGGAGTCTTCGACCTCGGGCTGCAGCTCCACCTCTGAGAGGTCCCATAAATCAAGAAATTTAGCAATGACCATAACAGTGACTGCACCTTGGAATCCAACTCATTTCAGCCAAAGCATCTCAAACTGTTCTTTGCTTTGTTTACCTTTAAGAAAACAGTCCAAACAAGTCAGGGAGATACACACTGACCATGCGGCCAATTATTAGTCCAAAAAGGGTGTTCTTTCCATTCCCAACTTCTCAGATGATGGCCAATGAGAAGAAAGCCCTAACTGAAGAATCAACCTGTATGGGGAAGGCTGCCCAAGGTCGATCAGGCTCAGTTTTTTTCAACCAGGTTCAACTCATTTGAAGGGCCCAACCCAAGTGTTCGGTTCACAGCAAACTAATTCACAAGTAGATCTTAATCAGTAACACGTTTTCACTTTGTTTAAGTGGTGAGTATGTGCTTATCTACCACCAAGTTGCCCTTCTAAAAAGTTTGTTTTGATCTTTCTTCCTCATGCATACCTGTTGTCTTGCACTTAAGCGATCATTTTGCCCCCACATTACAAAATATGCCAATCAATCTGTCTCTATTCTATTAATGTAAAATTTCCTTTTTGAAGCAGATGTAGATGATAACGTTATTAGCATCAGTGCAGATCTGTTTATCTGCGAGGGACATCCTTTACACGAGGTACAGGTAAACTCTTTTTTTTTTCCCGAATCGGACTCTTGCGGAGTCTTGTTAAAAAGTCCAATTTAGCTTTTTTATAGTTGACTAACAGCTCCATCCGTAGGTGCTCAAACAATTCCTAGCTAGCTATTATCACTAAGGAGTGAATCAGAGACTGTAAGAGCAATGGCAGACCTTGTGGTTGGCTTGGCCAAGACAGTGGTGGAGGGGGCCCTGACCAAGGCTCAGTCAGCGATTGAGGAGGAGGCAAAATTGCAGCAAAGTGTGCAGCACAACCTTGTATTCATTGCTGGTGAGTTTGAGATGATGCACTCCTTCCTCAATGTTGCCAATGAGGAGCGTGTGAAGAACAACGTTGTGAGGACCTGGGTGAGGCAGGTTCGTGATCTGGCATATGATGTGGAGGACTGCATAGAGTTTGTCATCCACCTGGACAACAAGCCAAGGTGGTGGCGCTGCATGCTTCCACTTTGCCTGGCAGCATCAGCATTGCCCTTAGACGAGGCGGTAACTGAGATAGAGCGGCTCAAGGTTAGGGTTGAGGATGTGAGTCGAAGGAACTCACGCTACAGCCTCATCAGCGACTCTGGATCCAAGCCCATCATGCAGCAACAGACGGCACCCAACGCAGCTTTTGGCCCAATGGCACTTGACATGCTGGTTGAGGCGAGGGACACCGCAAAAAAACAGCAAGGCTTAGGGGACCTCACCCAGCTACTCACAAAGGAACAAGCTGACCTTGGGGTAATCTCAGTTTGGGGAACAGGTAGTGAACTTGGTACAACATCAATCATCAGAAAGGCCTACCAGGACCCAGAACTCTGTCGAAAATTTGAATGCCGTGGCTGGGTGAAGCTTACACATCCTTTCAATCCCCACGAGTTCCTCCGTAGTATGGTGACTCAGTTCTACACAAACAGTTGCCTGCAAAAAGGAATCGTTATAGATGTGAAGGAACTGAAGAGGATTGAGGTAATGGCGACAATGGAAGGTGGACTCATTGAGGCATTTATGGACAAAGTAAATGAGAACAGATACCTAGTTGTCCTGGAAAATGTGTCCACAATCGGAGATTGGGACACCATCAGGACGTACCTGCCAGACAGGATGAATGGCAGTTGGGTCATTGTATCCACACAGCAGTGTGAAATTGCAAGCTTGTGCATTGGGCGTTCATACCAAGTATCGGAGCTGAAGCAGTACTCTGCACAGCACTCTATATGTGTCTTTTTGAAGGAGGTAAACCTTTAACATCATCAGTTAACTGCAAGAATGTTAGTGTTTAAGGTTAAACTATTTCAGTTGGAAGGGATGAAGTTTATCATTAATATTGCTTATCTGTTTTTATCACGACTTCCTCCATCCCAAAAAGAGTGCAAATCTAGATTTGAATTAAGTCAATTTTTAAGTTTCACTAAGTTTATATAAAATAGTATCAACATTTTTTGTCTCCAGATGGGTTTTCTATGAAAATATATTACATGATTAATCTAATGATACTTATTTGGTATCATAAATGTTAATTTCTTTTATATAGATTTGGTCAAACTGATTGTCTAACAACTCGAAAAGCACTCTTTTGAGGACGGAGTATTCATTTGCTGCTCATCGGTTCCATATCTTGCAAGCGAAATAGTATGGTAGAAGCATCTCATCTTAACTACATATTGTAATCTTTTGGGAAAAAGAAAAACTTTAGAACTTGCACATATGCTTTCAACCTTAGATTTCCCCTCCTAAAGTATCCCATTAATATGTAGGACTTCAGCACAGAAACATCGTTGCTGCTCTTTTCCTGTTGCATCTCTCTGCAAATCCCCTTCTCTTGGTTTTTAACTCTATTATATGGTTCTGTACCTACTTTTTGTTTCAGAGTTTGCAAGGTGATGGTGATAAAAGCATGGAATCTGATAGAGTGGTAGACAACAGCAATGAAATATCAATGGGGGATGAAGCAACCCATGGTACTGGCTTTCTGCCCTACTACAGAATTCCAACATCTAAATGGAAGGCTGCCTGTGATTGGGTGGAGAATTTTCACCTTGTTGAACGCAAGTCAGAAATGAACCAACTTGGTAACTATATTGCTAAGGCACGTCTCAATGGTTTGCAAGTGCTGTCTGTGTGGGGGATAGCTGGTGTTGGGAAATCAGCCCTGGTTAGGAACATGTACTATGACAGAATTCATCGAAATGACTCATTATTTGACAGGTATGGTTGTGTCGATGTAACCCACCCATTCAATTTAAGGGACTTCTCCCGGAGTTTGCTTTTGGATTTTCATTCACAACCTGTTCAAGCGATGGGAATTAAAGACCCTACTCAAGAGTGTCATAAGATTCTAAAAGATAACCGGTGCCTTGTTGTTATTGATGATCTGGAGTCCATGGAAGAATGGGACTTAATACAGGCTGCCTTGGTGTCTAGACCTTCTAGTAGTATTATCATTGTCATTACAACTGAAGCAAGCATCGCCGCACATTGTGCAGATAATGAAGGGGTCATATTTAATGTCAAAGGTCTAGAAGACAAAGCAGCCCTCGAGCTCTTCAAAAAGCAGGTATGCTTATTCAGAAAAAGCGAAGGGGCCTGTTGCCTAGTGATTGCGGCAGCCTCTCACCATTTCTCCTATTTGCCCTAAAATCTCAAATTTATAAAAAAGTTGCATGGCAGACTCTGCATGGTCAGAGCTGTCAATATTAAATTTTGGCCAATATTACATTTATAGATGTTAATATTAGCTTTAGATATTGTATTCCTATGTTTGTTGGTGCCATTATTGCCATAAGAGAAATTTGGCTAATATGTCTTTTTATCAGCAATTCAGGATCAATATGTATACATGGAATTCATCTAAAATGACATTTACATCGAACATAAAATATTTTAAGGGCAGATGATATATTTTTATGGTAATAGGGAGCAAATGATATATTTTTATGGAAAATTCTACTGTTGTATTACATTTTTGCCAGACACCAAAAAAAATTGTTTTTGTTAAAGCAAGGCGCTAATAGTAAAGTAATAATATCTTTCTGCTTTCCTTCCACTTCATTTTGCATTTGCAGTTAAGACAATTATGAATGAACATTTTTGTTTCATCTTGCAACCTGTTCATATCTCCTAAGTGTGGTGGAGAGGTTGCTTTGTATGGGAGTCTCTCCCTTTTTTTCTCTCTAATTTATAAAGATACACAGCTCTCCTGCGTGTTCGAGAAAAAAAATTAATGAACAATTTCAGTTATGTATATTTCCATTGTTCTGTTATATTTTAGGGCCTGTTTGGATGCTGCCTCCCATGCAGCTTTGCACCTGATTTTCAGGGTGCTAAACAAACAGGCCCTTAATGCATATATCAAGTTGCAGTATGAAGTGTATGTTCACCATGTGCATACATTTTGTGAATGAAACAGCTAATGCATTTTGCTTAGCATGCTGAAAACGTTTGTTCTTCAATTGAATTTTAGGTACATAAGCAAAAACCATCATCTCCTATAAAGGACTCCAAAGATGAAGAGCTACAAGAACTTATTTTGAAGTGCGGTGGTCTTCCCAAAGTGATAGTTGCTGTAGCCATTTTTTTGGCACCTAAAACAGTCACATGGATGAATAGTGCGAGTTCTATGAATCTCAAATTTATGCAAGAACTGGAGAGCAGCCCAGAGTTTGCTTGCCTGCGGCCACTCTTTGGTTGGCTGCACTCCTACTTTCGAACTTGCCCGGATTTCCTCAAGCCATGTATCTTCTATCTGTCAATTTTTCCTTGAGATCACAGCATCCGGAGAAGGCGTTTGGTGAGACGGTGGATTGCAGAGGGCTATGCCAGGGACACTGACAAAATGTTTGCGGAGGAGAGAGGGGAGCAGTTCTTCTGTGGGCTCCTCGATCTGAGCATAATAATGCAGAAACCACATTCAGTCACCACCGCATTCAGCGACAGAAGAATGACCTTGTGCCAAGTCAACAGTTTTGTCCGAGAGTATATCATATCACGTCAAATGGAAGAGAACCTTGTCTTCGAACTGGGAGGCAGTTGCACCCTAACCTCTCAACGCACAGGGCGTCACCTCATCATACTGGAAAGCTGGGACAGAGACATAATTGTGTTTGAGAGCATTGACTTCTCACGGCTACGGTCTTTGACAGTGTTTGGAGAATGGAGGTCATTCTTCATCTCTGATAAGATGAGGTTACTTCGGGTTCTCGATCTTGAGGATGCATCCGGTTTAAAAGACGAAGATCTCAAACAAATGATGAAGCTGCTTTGTCGCCTCAAGTATCTTTCCCTACGAAGATGCACTGAGATCTGTAGGCTGCCGAATTCATTGGGTTGTTTGAGGCAGCTTGAGACTCTGGATGTCAGACATACATCCATAGCAACCATGCCAACAACCATCACCAAGCTAAAGAAACTGCAGTACCTTCGTGCTAGTACCACCAAACCAACTGAGGAACAACCAATACCCGATGCTGCTGGTACAACCAAACTAACAAAGAAACAACCAACCCCACATACCTCTGTATCATGGACATCATCTTTGTTCAGCAGACGTCAACAACTAGAGGGTGTGTTAAGGTTCCTACTGGGATAGAGAGAATGACTGCATTGCTCACCATCGGTGTTGTTAATGTCGATTCTGCTCGGGGGAGGGCCATCTTGAAAGAGTTCAGGAAGCTCACCCAATTGCGCAAGCTTGGAGTGTCTGGAATCAGTAAGAACAACAGCAAAGATTTCTGTGTGGCCATCTCAAGTCATGCGCATTTAGAATCCTTATCAGTTAGGCTCAAGAAGGACAATCAGGACTGCTTGTATGTCACCCCAGATGGCTATCTTCCCCCCCAGAACCTACAGAGCTTTAAACTGTATGGCCTTGCAGACAAGTTTCCAGAGTGGATCACTCAGCTTGACAATCTCAGGAAGTTAGTTTTGGAGATGACTATAGTAACCAAAGATACTATCAGTGGACTCAGGGATCTTAAAGTATCTATTCTACGTCTCATTGCCAAGCAGCTTCCTGATGGTAAGCTCAATTTTTGTGTCATGTTGCATGGACAGCAATTACGCTGCTATGAAACAGTGAAGGTACTCGAGATTTCTTGCAGCTCCAGCTTAGATGTGACTTTTGGATCACAAGCACTGCACAATCTTGAGCTGTTGAAAGTTTCCTGCTGTAGTGGTTCAGGGTCGGTAATGAAGTTCTCTGGGCTAGAAAAACTGTCTGAATATGAACTCAAGGAAGTCCAGATTAAGGGTTCCCATGATGACAAACTCAAAAAAGATGTGGAGGAACAACTTGCCAGGCATCAAAAGAAACCTGTTTTGAAGATGGAATAAGTACTTTCGTCCACTGGGGATTGTGAGCTCTAGTTTCCTGTCATAATGTTATCAAGAATTAGTGACTGGTGCTGTTGGCTTCCTCTTATTTCTTCACTGCTGCTCGATCCAGTCTAACCGATTAGAAAGATCGATTATGCAACCATCGTACCAATAATAAACGGTGAAACCTGAAAGCTTCCTCCTTGGGCACATACTGATCAGTCTATTTTTCTTGTGTATGTGGTTTATTTATTCATACTGCATAGTCCCAGTTCGGATTTCTTCTAAAAGATACTGATGGTGTGCAAATGTTTTTATATTATAGAGAAGGTTGGACCAGTGAATTGGTGTTGTAATTTTCTATTGCTATCCTGTATTGTAGTTTTGTGGTGTATCTTGCTATGTCATCCATGTTTTTTTCTGGTTGTTTGTGTGTACATTTGTTTTGACTGGTTTTCGCTGTGATATATACAATCCTATTAGTAGTTGTATTTCTACATTCCTTCATATTGATCTGGGTTCCTACAGTTTTTGATGGGCCGCTGATTGCTGGCAGGCATCCTATTACATGGTACTACAATAGCATACAACTTTACAAATGATTCTGATGCTAACCCATGGAATGCACTTGAAATCAATTTTAAGCATGCTCAAAAAGGAAAATAATAGGGTGACCAGGGTGAATTCAAAAATGGTCCATACTTTAAGCTGATTCACCTCTTTGGAGATATCTGAGCCATGGAGATGTTGTAGTGATAGCATCTCTGGCAGAGGCTAGGCCAAATAGATTTTAGCGGGACAGCCTGCAAACATTATTTCTGCTCTGTGGTATTACCAGTACTAGCTAGTTATGGTTGTGTATAAATTCTCTAGTATTGCATTTGTGATGTACCAGCAATTGATCGGAGGCAAATTTGGATCGGAAGGTTGAGAAATGGAAGAAATGCGACATGCCAATGCACATCACTGTTTACCGAAACAATAGGTAATGAGTCCACCTTAGTTCAGAAAATGAAAAAGGCGCAAATTACCCTGTACTGTAGTTACCGAAAAGGATGATACAATATTCAAGTGAAATAACCAAAGCAATCTCCCTTTCTGAACTCGGCGCAGACACGGTGAAAGTGACAGCTAGAGCTAGAGCTAGAGCATGGAGATGTTTGGTGTGGCCCTTGCATAACACAACACGAGCGTTGACTGACTTTGGTCGTCCTGAAAATTCCTACAGTGACAACTTCGTAGCAACACCGTGCTCACCTGCAAAGAAAAAGCACCACTACAGCAGACCCTAATTCGATCAGGCCTTATTTAGTTCTCTCATGTGCAGACACGGTGAAAATCCCTCATGTGCTTCTAACAAGCTGCTTTGTTCGATCAGGCCTTATTTAGTTCTCCTAAAGTTTAGTCTCTATCACATCGGATGTTTGATACATACATAGAATATTAAATATAAACTAAAAAAATAACTAATTGCACAGATTGCGACTACTTTGCGAGACGAGTTTTTTAAACCTAATTAGTCAAGGTGGTGCTACAGTAAGCATATGCTAATGACGGATTAATTAGGCTTGATAAATTCGTCTCGCGGAATCCTGAGGACTTCTGTAATTTGTTTTATTATTATTATCCGATTACTCCCATTTAACACCCCCACATAACATCCGATATGACATCCCTAAACTTTAGCCCTTGGATTTAAACATCACCTGATTTCAGAACTTTAAGTTCGTGCAAATTCTGTCTTGCATCGTTGCATTGCAATTATTTGTTGAACAACTTCCTCATTTTGTAGAAGTTGTAATAATTCCTGAAGAGCTCTCATGTATAGGTACAGCTACACCTACTTGAATTGTCAGAAATGGCCACTGACCCCAGCGGAGGTGGTAAGCCCAGTCTTCTGAGTATTTTACCGGATCTAACAGCGGAGTTTCTGAAAGAAATTACAGATGGATTCTCCGCTGAGCGAAAGCTGGGGGAAGGCGCATTTGGAACTGTTTACAAGGTATGGTTAGGGCTCAATAAAAGCATGCCGATTACAGTATCTGAGAAGTCAAATTGACAGGGGTTTCTGCAAGATGGGCAAGCCATTGCTGTGAAGACGCTCTCAGATAATTCCCCAGTGACACCTGACAAACAGTTTCGGAATGAGGTTGGGAATCTTAGGGCCATCCAGCATGAGAATATAGTGAGGTTATCTGGCTACTGCTATGAAGTGCAGAGGAAAGTGATCGAGCACAATGGAACACACATTCGTGTGGAGGTGTCTGAGCGCTTCCTCTGCTACGAATTGAAGATGTTTGGGAAAATTTCTGGAGTCACACTCTATATCCTGAGTCTGAGTACATATACACATATACATATGGGTCTCTTGGGCATAATCTAATAACTTACAACTCATACCCAGCTCACCGCTCCCCCTCAAGATGGGCGATAGATATCAATCATCCCCGTCTTGTTACATGCTAACATACATTCATTAACTCATAAACCTTTCGTTAAACAATCAGCTACTTGCTCACTTGAAGCTACATGACTCAGTTTAAGTGTTCCATCATCCAGCCGCTCCTTGATGAAGAAGTGATTAATCTCCACATGCTTAGTTCTATCATGCTGAAGTGGGTTATTAGCAATGTTGATTGCTGTCTTGTTATCGCACCAGGGCTTCAGATAAACTTCCCCTAGTTTCAACTCAGATAATAAATTCTTTAACCATAACATCTCACTTAAACACACGGACATGGCACTATATTCTGCTTCCGCAGTTGATCGAGACACTACTGGTTGTTTTTTGCTCCTCCATGATACTAAATTTCCTCCAACAAACGCGCAATAGCCAGATATCGACCTTCTATCATTTAGACAGTTTTGCCCAATACGCATCACAGTAGCCTTCAATATTTAGGTGATCATTTCTCTTGAACCATAGTCCTTTTCCAGGATTACTCTTCAAATATCGCAAGATTCTGTAGACTGCATCCATATGCCCACTCCTAGGATCATGCATGTATCGACTCACCACACTTACGGCATATGTTATATCAGGCCTTATATGACATAAATAAATCAAACGTCCTACAAGTCTTTGATATTTCTCTTTATCCATCGGATCTCCAGACTGAGCACATAATTTGTGGTTCTGCTCGATAAGTGTAGAAGTTGTGCGACATCCAAGCATACCTGTCTCATTTAGCAAATCCAGTACATACTTTCGTTGTGAAAGAACAATCCCTCTAGGGGATCTTGCTATTTCGATTCCGAAAAAATATCGAAGTTGTCCAAGATCCTTGACTTCAAACTCTTTGCTTAGATTCTTTTTCAGCTGAGCTATTTCTAAAGTGTCATCTCCAGTAATAATTATATCATCCACATACACCTAAGAATAGTTACCCGATTATTAGAGTTATGATAAAATATAGTGTGATCCCCATTGCATTGCCTGTATCCCATATTACACATCACCCACCTAAAGCGATCAAACCATGCCCTTGGTGACTGCTTTAGACCATACAAAGATTTCTTTAGTCTCAATGCCTTTCCCTTAGTTTGAGCGGTATCAAACCCAGGTGGAATTTCCATATAAACTTCTTCCTGAAGATCTCCATGCAAGAATGCATTCTTAACATCCAACTGATATAATGGCCATTCAAAGTTAGCAGCACAGGAGATCAATGTTCTAACAGTGCTCATCTTTGCAATGGGGGCAAATGTCTCATCATAATCAATGCCATATGTTTGACTATACCCTTTTACTACCAATCTTGCTTTGTATCTCTCTATCTTACCATTAGGATTTTGCTTTACTGTATATACCCATTTGCAACTAACCACCTTCTTGCCCACCAGAAAAGGTACAAGATCCCAAGTATTGTTCTTCTCAACTGCTACTAGCTCCTCTAGCATGGCCTCCTTCCACTTCGGATCTCGCTTTGCCTCTTTCTAGTCTCTTGGAATTGCCACTGATTGCAATGACGCTACAAAAGCTTTGTAGGTAGAAGACAAAGATTCATATGAGACATAATTAGCTATATCATTCTTGTCCTCAATGCCATCTTCAAAGCCATATCTCTCTGGAGGTTTTCCTGCTGTACTTCTCATTCCTTTTCTTGTAGCAATAGGGATATCAATAGAAGAGTTGATATCTTCACCCGAAGGTGCTGATGGATTATCAACCTCATTATCATCAATTGGAAGTTGTTATTGCTGCACCAATTGTGGTTGCTCCACCTGGGTACCATCTTCATCACTAACGGGTGAAGGTTGTACAGAAGGATTTCTCCTCCTTCTCGTGTACACCTGTAGATTTCTTTCAGTGTGTGATGTTCTCTCCCTCTCCACATTTGTTGGTTCACTTACAACCACTGGATATGGTATTAGACCAGTAATCACTTTATTCCTCCTCGATTCCTCAGCATCCTCAGTCACTAATGGTCCATTCTCCTCATCACCAACCTCACATGTATCAGAAGAACCAAGATCAAGAAAAAGACCACTCAAATCTATTTTCTCCCCATAGAAAGGAATAGATTCCCTAAAAGTGACATCCATACTCACATATGTACGACGTTCTGATGGGCTCCAGCATTTGTATCCCTTTTGCCTAGATGAATAGCCAATAAAAATGCACTTAACAGCTTGAGGATCTAATTTCCCAACAGACGGTCTATGATCCCTAACAAAGCATGTGCATCCAAACACCTTCGGTGGAACAATAAACTCATTTTTTCCAAAAATCATTTCACATGGAGTTTTCATACCAAGCACTCTCGATGGCATGCGATTAATAAGATAAGTAGCAGTCATAACTACCTCACTCCAAAAGAACTTAGGCACGTTCATAGTATACATGAGTGAACGAGCCATCTCCAAGAGATGTTTATTCTTCCTTTTAGCCACTCCATTTTGTGCGGGTGTATCGGGACAAGAGGTTTGATCTAATATTCCCTCAGTAGATAGATAACTTCTAAATTCATTGTTCACATACTCCGACCCATTATCAGTTCTAATAATATGAACATGAGCATTGAATTGGTTTCTTATGCATGCAAAGAAGTCCTTAAAGCAGTCAAGCACCTCACTTTTATGTTTCATGAGATATAACCATGTCATACGAGAGTAACAATCAATAAAGGTCACAAAATATTTCATTCCACTCAGAGAAACAACGAAGTCCACACATCGGAGTGAATTAATATAAAGGGTGACACACTTCGCAATCCCCTACTCACATATGAAGTTCTTGTGTGTTTCCCAAACTCACATGCATCACATAGTAATTTACGTTTGTCTACCTTACACATTTGTTCAGGAAATATCCTACTCATAATATCAAAAGATATATGTCCCAGCCGACAATGCAAAAGCATTACCTTAGCCTCATCTTCATTTGCAATGGCTGATAAAGCATGACATATCGCTTTATCCGTCTTCCTTCTGTCAAGATACCATAGCCCATTATGACGAACTCCAATCCCAAGATGCTTTCCAGTCTTCCTTTCTTGAATTAAACAATTTTCACGATCAAGGAAAACTTGACAGTCCATCTGATCAACCAACGAGCTTATTGAAACCAAATTAACTGGAAATGATGGAACATATAATATTGATGACAATGTTATAGATGGAGTGCATTGCACTATACCAACACCTCTAATTGGTCGAGATGTTCCATCAGCAGTCTGGATTGTGTCTTTATGAGAGTATGAATATGGCGTTTATGATGTAAATTCACTTGAAATGCCTATGACATGTCTAGATGCACCGGAATCTAATATCCAACTTGAATTAGAATTTTTTATGGACAATAAAGCTTGTTTTTTCATACCTGCATCAGAATGGATAAAATTGACAACATTATCTGTTGAAGTTGACACTATCCCCTGATCATCTAATTTTGCGTTGTTCTTATTTTCCTTCAGCTTTCTCAACTCTTCTAACTTTGTAGCTGAAATTGTGACTAAGTCTGAAGCACCTTCCTCAGACATAGCAAAATTGGCTCTAAGGCCTCTTCTTCCACCAAGACCTCCCCCTCCCCTTGGTGCACCCCTATCATTGCCTCTTCCTCTTCCGCAATAAGTCTTTTGTGGTTGACTGCAGTCCCGACTCAGATGACCCTTATCACCACAATTATAGCATATTCTAGTCTCTTGAGATCTTGTTACAACATATGCTGGACGGGATGGGGCTGGAACATTTCCTTTCATTACCTTTAGCCTAATTTCCTCTTGTGCCATAATAGCAATAGCTTCTTCTAGACTAGGAAGGCTAGATTGATGAAACAGAGAGGCACGCCTTCTCTCAAATTCTGAATTGAGGCCTCTCAAGAATTGGAGAACTTGTTTTTTCTCGACCCATTTCTTCACCTACGCCACACAATCAGGGTGTGGCAACTCAATTGGATCATAGTGGTCCAAATCAGCCCATAACCACTTTAGCTCTGCAACATACTCCATTAGAGATAGTTCCCCCTGTTTCAGATGATAGAGCCTATCATCTGTATCAACAAACAACATCACATTCCCTGCACCAGAATATGTCTTCGATAGTGATTCCCAAATACCATATGCAGTAGTAATTGTATCTACTGATCCAGCAATAGATGGCACCATCGAGCTCAACAACCAGGCAACTATCAAAGAGTTAGTAGCATCCTAGGCTTTCCATTCATCACTTGATTTATCCTTGGGTTCAGTTGCCTTTCCATTGACGAAACTCTCAAGTTTCTTTGCCTTTAACAACAATAATGCCCTCCTGGACCAAGCTAAATAATTTCTTATGCCTTCCAGTTTGATATCATTTGGCGTGAGTTCTAATTTCTGAACTGCATCTGTATATAATGGCACACCCACTTTGCTCGAAGATGGAGCCTCATTCTTCTTCTCAGTAAGCAAATTGACTAGCTTGCCCAATATCTGCTCAATCCCCTGATTGTCTCTCATTTGTGTAGAAATCTACAGCCCGCCGTAGATACTTCCACAAATACTGTTGTGTACCAACTAGTAGTCCAAACAACCCAAATAACCAGCACCCCTGTAGCTCCCTTTCACTTTTTCCTTGCCGTCTGCAGTTCCAGTCAGAGGTCCTGCCAGCCTCTGTGCCGCCACTGCGCCTCAGGCCAGCAACCACACGATGCCGATCTGCTTCTACCTGCCACCACAGGCTCCTCTGATGCGGCTTCAAGAGCTCTATTCTCCCCTCCAGACGCGCCACCACAGGCTCCTAAGTTGCTTCCTCTGCACACCCAGCCACAAATCTTCTCCGACGAACTAGGTGCCTCCGTCGTCCTTTCTGTTGCAGCTAGATGCCTCTAGCAAGCGAACCTCTCCTCCTGCAGCTCTCGAGTTGGCCTCCAGAAAGCGAACCGCTCCTCCTCCACGCAGCTCTCAC